TATATATGCTCTCTTCATTTTCCCGTAGAGGTTTCTCCAGTTTGTATTTATTTTTGTTTGTGTTTATATTTATTCAAAAGTTTGGATAAGTTGGTCATATAAATTGCATAATGTAAGTCACGCAATGTTTAAATAACCAAAATATTCTTTCAATCTTTCACTGAATTCTTTAAATGGCATTACTTTTTTTGTCGTAAAACGAATGAAGAATATTTTGAGGAGAATTTTAACACACTAAAAAGAAAGAATTGAATTATCATACCTGCACCCGCAAATGTAGTATCGATTTTGCTAGAGTTGACATTCAGCGCATAGAGACCATTTCAATATACACTCCAACCATTACATCACCACAGATCCCCTGTGTCATTACCATTAAATTTTAGCTACAGCTGATGACCTAATATTATTAGAATAATTATTATGTTCATATTTGACCTGGGTAGGCTAGATTACCAACAGAGGCATTAACATATGGGCAGATTCGAGTGGGGCCAGAGCAGGCCAGAAAAAACATTCTTCTACATTAGTTAAGCTGGTTCGTGAGTGGAGAGTTGAGATTGGTACTTCATTCTTTTGAGAACACTATGTAGGTTTATCTCCGTTTCTTTACCAGTTTAGAAATAATGTAGGATGTGAATGTATCATGTCGGTTGTCGAATGTACTTAGGCTAGGTCCTAACTCATAACCTAATTTATAAAGACGATAGAGAACACCAAAGAGCAGTTGATTAAAACTAATGGGAACCGCTTTGTAAGTACAGTACTAAAACCATGGTTTTAAGTTTGTTGCTCTCCGTGAAATTGAGTGTATATCATGAACCATAATACCCATCAAAGAATAAAGCAGAATGTTATCTAAAGGTTTTCTTACTAGATTCACCACGGGTGTAGCGCTGAACTGTGGCTTCCATGGGATGCCATAATCACACACCCAAAATCTCTATATAGTTACACAACTGTCACGAATTCAGTTACTTTAATTTACTTTACTTTAATGAAAAGCACAATTCGTAATCAATAATGAATTTGTATTACTTGTCATAGATTTTAATATATATAAACATTAACAAAGTGACTGCGACCGGGGAAGGCGGCTAATCATCGCATTTATCCAAAATGTAATTATCATCGAAAAGTGTAAAGCAAACTTAAGTGCTTGCAGTTCACAATAAAGCGATAATAACTTGACACAGGTTGTGCCACGTATATAAGTAGGTATTAAAGATGGTACAAACACGAAGCATCACATCGGTTAAGCAGATATTCAAAATTTTAAACAGGCCTAAACAATTTGCGTGTGTTTTTTGTACATTTCTTGTTTAACCAAAATGCCAAATTGTTTAGATCGTGGTCCTGGAAATAACGAAAAATATATTAACTAACTGAATACAATTCAATAACAAATACAGAGAGAGCGTTATAACAGCTACTCTTTGAAAGATCATATCATTGGTGGATTCCAGTGGGTGGGGCAGCCGGCCTGGCAACCGTTACCCCCTAAATTTTTCCAACTTATACAGTATAACAATTCAAATTTAATTCTGATAATGCAATTTCCGGCCATCGTGACGTGCCATATTTATAAATGTTCTTACATCAGCTCTAACCATGGTGGGGTCTGAGGTGGTGGTCTAGTCTCTCCATCTGTGTCCTCTCTCCCCTCCCCCTCCCCCGTCTCTATTGTAATTCCTATCGTATCTAGTTTACTGGAATCAAATACAGTAGTATACTGTAATAATAGACTAAGATCTGATTACACATTTTGAATATGTGAAACATTACGTGATATTATTATTCTTCAGTTTATATTTTTTTTAAATAAAAGTAATAAATTATAGTTGCTGGCATTTCGTATTCTGCTTACATATAAAACTCAATCAATATTGTTTTATCATGGAGGTATAAAATAGGAGGTATGCCTCCATAGATTTATTAACTAATAGGCCTACATAATATTGGATGTACAATTTTCGACATAATTATGAGATTAATTGGTATTTATCCTATGTCTATTTAAACTCAGACGGTGCTTTATTTTATTTGCTATGATTAAGATTTTATGATGAGTAGATTAGAAGAGTTTCATTCGTTTATATGTGTAGGTCATATTATCAAAATGATTGGGGCGCTGGACGAGTTTATACAACCACTTTTTACGTCGTTAACATAAATTTACGCCGAGTTCATGCAACATCAATTTACGCTCTATTTAAACTGGCAACAATATTATTTTTAGTGAAGGTGATTTAATAATCTAATCAAACTGATCGTTTTCCCAGATCGAAAAGCCACATGTTGGCTATTATAAAAATCCAGACACCACTTACCAATTGTTGTTAATAGGGTTGTGCTGAAGAAAAGAGCTGACCAGAAATCCCAGTTAGTAAACTCGGTCACATTCAATTTCCAAGATACACCATAATCATTTGCTATTATTATTTCTTCAATCAGATTCTCCAGGCTAACTAGATTCACACAGGAGTTTTCGTCAAGAAAGTCCTGGGTTAGCTTCCTAATATCCTGATTTAATTTATCCTCATGAGGCTCTTCGATTGTCGAAAACACTGTCGCCCCGATGCATAGATACACGATGTAAAACACCGAAAAGAAGAAACATCGCAACGCTATTGATCTAGTTTTTGCCATTTTACCGTATGGTCATTATTTTCTTCAATTCTCCAGGAATACTAAATGTAAGCTGTTATAATTCTTTCCAAATTCACAAGTATAATGCATCCGTTGTTGAAAATTTCCTGTACAATAAATCAAAGTTTTAACAAAAACCTATTTGTGGATATTATAATTTAGGAAATAGTTCCAGAACTTGCAGTAACATCAGTAAAGGTAAGAAGCAATTTCACTCAAATTGCAGTATAGAACAAAACAAAAAAAAATACAAGATTAAAGTGCAGTGAAGTTGACTAAAATATGGTAGGTCCTATAGTGTAGTAGGCCTACAGTTGTACGACTGGTAACCGTAGTAAAATAGTAGTAGTAGTAGAAGTAGTATAGTAGTAATAGCAGTAGTGTAGTAGTAGATGCAGATGAGATGAAGTATAACAAACGATCAATAGCAGATATACTTTATCAATATATGTTGGTGACCTCTTTGGAGCAAATAAAGCCCCTAACATCATCCGATGGTGGAAACAACGTTTAGCTAGTGGTTAGGGAGTGAGTAGTATACCCTTGTATCCATGCATACACGCGACGAACGTATACTCTCTTTTACTACGAGGGCTGTAAACAATACATCCTCGGTGTTCGCTTGGCGGTAACTGCAGTAATGAGCACTGGAAAGCAGTTATGCACTAATTAAACACGCGGCGCTTGATACCAAAATAGACAACGTCATCAATGTGGGTGGAATTGTTTTTCTGCTTGAATAAAATGTATGTAAACGCGGTTTTCTAAAAGAAGGAACAGCAGGATTGAGATGTATTCATTGGTGATGATGTCACTATTAGCCTGCATTGTTAGCTTAGTTCATAATTGATAATCGGAAAACAACCTAAGTTATTAGTGTCTGAAACACTATATTTTTGTTGATAAATTGCCAACAAAAAAATTCATTTTTTTATCACATAAAATATATTGAAAATAATCATTGACAGACGTAAACATTGCCTAACGTAGTGGTTCAACAATGTAGACAAAATAAGTCCATGGTTTAACAAAATGAAAGCAAGGAGGTCGCCTGTCTGAAGTAGACTTTTACCTTAAATGCCTATACTTAGATTAAGAGGTAGACACATTTGTATTTATTTTACGTACAAATCGCGATTAGGCTTACGCCAGTTGATAGTCTTTACTTAATGGGTGTAAAAGACAAATAACAGCTGGATTTAGGAGAAGATCAGACTGTTCTAGTTGTACCTTGTTTAGAAGGTTGAACCTTCCGAGACTACTCATGCAACCGCGTTTCGTCAATTGTCTCTAAAAATTAGTAATAAGCACCCTGCTACAATTGAGTGAAGACTTTTGGCAGAGTAATTTCATTGGATACGGGACCTTTGGTGATGTCTTGCAATGTCATTGTGCTGATGCATCTGGGGTTTCTCAGGGTAATATTTTGAGCCTCATTCTTTTCATTTCTTTTTCCTTTTCCTTTTTCTTTTTCTTCTCCACCTCCACCCGTAATTTTGAAATATGACGCATTGGAGCCATTCGATCCCTGCCGATGAGGTCCGATTTCGGCCTATTTATTCCCCGGGAAGATTTATTTACCGATATGTTTGTCCAATCTTTGTAGTGTCGGGACATTTTTACGTCTTTGAAATATTTAAAATAACGAGCACTCGCTAAACTCAAAAAGCCGCTCATTTTTCTATTATGTCACCTATTGTTTTATCGCGTCACAATTTGTATTATTTGTATTATCTGAGTATAAATTAGCTGAGAAAACCATGGCGGTATGAATAACATAAACAATTTAAAGGGGTCTTTCAATATCTAGTTATATACCACTAACTTGCGTGAGGCTATTATATAAAATCAATACTTCGAAAACTTGTATATGAAGACGTACACATGCATCAATTATCAACGCCCTTGGATGAGTCATAATTAAATGCAAAAATATATTACTATGATAGTCCTATTGTACGTCCGGATACTTAAAGTGCTCAAGATCAACACAAACACTATAAGAGAAAGCGTACCGTAGTCCATCCCAAAGATAAAATACCAAAAAAAGTTCCATGTCATAACTGCCCAAAAGTCTATAATGATTAAACGGGTAGATCATCACCAGATAGACAAATGTAAAAATGATGTCAAACTCTTTTCTCTGGGACCCAAGTTGTGACTTCCCACACTAACCGCGGCCTAACTAATAATTTGATAGAGTTGCACAGTGACTTTTATAGGATCCTCAAAATATGATGCTCATGTCTTAACACTGACTATTTGACATTGGATTTTTACATCGATTTTTGCTTGCTATTTTCAGTGGCGTATCCAGGAAATAGAGGGGCGCGAGAGAGTACCAACCACAGCTCCACCATGGATGGGTCTGAGGTAGGTAAGACATTGTATGATTATGGCACCTCTAGATAGCCGGAAATGACACTTTTATCTAAATACATTTATTTTCTCCATTATTCTTTTTATTTTGAAAAATTTAAGGGAGGGAATGCTGGCGGCTGGGCCCCTTTGAATCCGCCACTGATTATCGTCGTTTTCGCCACAGTGGAATCATGAGAATTTTAATATTTGAAATTTAAAATGATATACAAGAAAGTTAAGTAAAAAATAGAATACTTTGTGTGGCCCAAGCCTACTGTCCCAAAATCTCGAGAATATAGGATCGGCATTTTTGAAGAAAAAAAATGTTCAATCTTTAAATGATATACGGTAGTTCATAAACATAAATTTTGGTTACCATTATATCAACCAATCATAGCTGCATGTATTATTGTGTATGTATGTATGTACTATTTGCATTTCATTAGGTTACCCATTTGAAATATATTTAGAAAATGCCATTTTTATAGGTCACATGATACAGTTTATGCTTTAAGTTTATATCTATACTTGTCTTAAACATGTGGAATGTTTAGATTTACAAATTTATTTTGTTGTAATTTATACGATATCCATTGTGGGCATATAATAACATTTTGTTCTAATAAGGGTTTTTTTTTATATTTATTTTTTATTTTTCGCAAAACTGCTCGCGACCCACTTTTGGATAGTGGGTCTAGTCTAGAGCATTCTATATTATTATACACCACCAAACGAATCGCCATGACTAACCGCACTTTACATGAAAACCACATACCAAACTGGGATAAAGATATATTTGGGAAAAGGAATAACACCAATTGGCTAGGAAGGTAAATGAAATAAAAGAGAAACAACAGATGTGGATACGAGGAACTCACACATTTTCGACAAACTGCTGAAGGTGTTGACAACAATATAGAGGGCGTACAACGTTGTCATAATAATGTGATAATTGCTAGCGCAGGTTGCAGCCGAACGTAAAGCAACAAACAAATGTTGCTTTGTCTTCAAGGATTATTTCAACAAATTATTTATATAGTTTTGCGATTTACAAATGGACCCGTGATCTGCTACCTGGAAAAGGGTGAGTTTTATTTAGTTTTCTGAAGATGGGCAGCAATAGTGAATTAGTATTGTGAAAAATGTTTTCCAACGATCTGGAAGAAGCTGTTGGGAGAATGACGTTATGATCGGTAACTCGGCAAACATTAAGTTTAATAATTGCATCTTTTGTGTGGTAAATCGTGTTCTATGACATGTAGATTTATTTATCATTTCACGCAATTAAATTGGTGTCTGGCCACTTAGGCAATATAAAATAGTTCCACCAAATGTAGGCAATTTGTAAAGAGAACTTTTTCCAAATACTTGACTCCACCTCCTCCAAATACCTACTGAAATTCAAGGAGGCATTACATACAATGGCAACATCCCTAACTCAACAAACAACTCTACCATGTTAATTTAACTTTGTCATTTTGATTCAGTTCTTTTTCTGGTAGCAGGTCAAAACGGCAATAAACCAAAACGGCAATGAATAAAACGGCAATAACCAAGACGGCAATGAACCAAAACGGCACTGAACCAAAACGGCAACGACAAGTACCAAAACGGCAATGAACCAAAACGGCAAGGACAAGTACCAAAACGGCAATAGGCATAGATCAAAACGGCAAAGGAGCGAAATGAATGCCAAGACTAGCAAAGCGCCCCCAAATGTTTCACTGTTTTTATATTGTTTCCCCAATATTTTTTAATATTGAATTTGTAAGTTATTTGTTATTATTATTTTGATGTTTTCCCCTTTAATATTGGTGTTTGTCTTGTTTTTTGGAATGTTTTTATTTTATTTTGTACTGTAAATTGTCTCATCCAATCACTGTATATGTTTGATTGCAATAAAGTTTAATTTGAATTATTAATATTATTATTATTATTATTTTTTTTTTTTTTACATCTATGACAATTTAGCCTCATTTTACCGTATTTAATCGTTGAATGAACAGAACGATTTAACAATTACTTTCCAAACATAAATCACTAGTGCGTACATCGGCCTTCCATACTGCGGTTGTTTATCGCGACCGAAATGATTTTTATTCGCCGCTGAAGGCCATAAATAAATGAAATTCCCGTTTTGACTTAGGCCTTGCCGTTTTGGTTATTGCCGTTTTGGCCATTGCCGTTCTGTTAAAAAGTGTTGCCGTTTTGGTTTTTTGCCATTTTGGTCATTGCCGTTTTGACTTATTGCCGTTTTGGTTATTGCCGTTTTGTCCAAAAACCCCTTTTCTTATTCGTTTTCAGGGGCGGATCTAGAATTTTTCTGACGGAGGGCCCAATAGGTATTTTACACCCACATCAGCCCCACCATGGTTGGAGCTGAGGTGAGCAAATTTTTAGAATATTGGTCCCCACCCCCGCTGGATCCGCCCTTGCTTTTGTCTATCATTTATTCATGTTTTGTCAACTCTATTTCGATATGGTTCGACTCACATGTAGTAACGTGTCACTAAAGTATACTCTCATAAATAAAATTGCCTGCATGCAGTCTGCACACTAATGATGGCAGTTGACTCTGCCGAAACATGTTTGTTTCATTGGGCCTAGTAATGGATGACAAATTAAAACTCAGACGTGCGCCTGATCAGAACATTATTCATATTGTCGAGATTGTTTTAAAGTTGAACTTAAAAACTATAAAGTTCACTCTCTGTTCAACTGGCAACCAGTGTAATTCTTTCAGAAGCGGGTATATCTAAGTGCACGATGGTAAGTAATCTAGCAAAACGATTCTGAGGTTCCTATAGATGTTTATTTTCATTAATGACAAATTTTACTGAGTGCAAACGTAATATACTTTATGTCTTAAATAATAATTATGTGATTGTTTTACAAGATCCCAAATAATATAATAAAGAAGTGACAAAAATCGTGTATAATTCTTCGATTAATTTGAACCGTTCACTTCCCAAACCAAATGGGAAAGACTTAAAGAGTATACAATAAATTAGTCTGGTTAAGGAAAATTGTAAATATTTAAAGGAAAATTTCAGAATTCAATTACAAGCTGCTAAAAGTATAATCCCAACTAACAAGAAGTTATTTCTCTTGAACAAATGCCAATTTTAATAATAACAATGAAATTGAAGATGAGTTGCACTTGTATTGGGATTTTGACCAGGTGAAGAATTTGTATTAATAGACTGTTTAAATGGGAACATATATGGTGCAAAGATATCTTTCTTGGGAGTGAAAACAAACGGTGGGATTTTAATATTATAGTATGTGTGTTTACCATTTTCTAAAAATATGATATTAAAAAGCCTAAAAAATAAAGCTGGTTTCTTTCTATCAGTCAGAGTTACATCCTCGATTACGAAATAATAACCATGTGCAAAGGAAAAGTTTTTTTTTTCTTTAAATTTTCGATATTTGCATGAAATATTGATATGAGTTATGATATATTACAAATTTATCTTAATTCCTTTTAAGTGTATCATATGTACATTGTAATCACCTGAATTGTGAATAAAGGTGGTGATTTATTCACAAAAACAAAACAAAAATCCCAAATAATATCCAAATCACCTACATAAAGGTTTATAAGATTTTTTTAAAAGTCTTACATTCATTGTGTAATTTTTTTTTGTATAAGCCTATAATAATCTCAACTTTTTTTTTGTTAAGCTTCAACACTGTACAGAGAACAAAAGTAAAAAAAGAAACAAAACATAATTTAAAAAAAAGAGGAAAGTATGAACAGGTGTCAAGCACCTCTATCTACACCTCCCTTGAACAAAATTAACCTCACATTGAACAGAAAAGAGATGTGGAAAATTGCACGTAATAAGATACAAAAAAAAATACATAAAAATTATTTTAAAAAAGAGATAAATACATTGAACATTATAGACTTGAACTAGTTTTTAATTAATATTTTAGTAAGTATTTTAATTATATTAAGCCTATATTGTAAGAAACAAAGGTGGGTCTAGGGTTTTTCCTGGGGAGATAGAGATGAAACTTCACCAAGAGGATTGTTTTGTAAACCAAACTATCCACAGAAGGAATTGATATTACTAATATTAATACTAATAATAATACATATCTAACCAGATGTTAAGTGCCAATTGTATGAAAAATGAAATCCAAATAAATTAATATGAAAGTCACGAGTCTACTAAAAGTATCATCTGCTTCATCCAACAATCTATGTACTAAAAGATAAACATTTACATATTGAATGTAAAATAATAATATCGTCACGTTGCAATAATCGGCTAATAACACTGAATATAATCCGAAAACCATTGTTGTCAAGTTCATTTGGACGATTATCAACAAATAGAGAACATACATTTTGATATAGACAAGTAGACGTACGTTTGTTCGACTAAAATCTCAAATAAAGGTATGTGTTTACTTTTAATTCATCTGTTATAAATGTCTTTTTCTTCTGAGTGCAGTATATCCAAAGGCTTAATTGAACTATCCTAGGAAATTAAAATGTTAGTACAATATTCATAAACGTTGTAAAAGTGGTTAAGTGGTTTTTTCTATTCACTTGTGCTCTGTTCCAAGTGCGGTGCGTATTTTCGAACCAATACTAAGTAAAAACGCAATTGTTTGTACATTTCGTAACCATCTCAGTGACCACTCCATCGATTTTATGGTGCAACGGTTATCAGAGGCTAAATTTATGATGAAAACAATGTACTGTGTAAACCTCTTAGGCCAACATTTTTACGAACTCAAAGATTGCACAATTTTTACTATAAACGATTTATTCCTTTTGTATATTATTAATGTCCGTATATACTAGTGTTCAATATTATCTGCATACATAGATTCCTGTTTTTTCTAATTTCAAACAAAATTATAATTAGTCAATTGAATTTTATATAGCCGTTATAAACAATAATTATACAGCATTTGGCAAGGATAGGTCACAAGCTAATCAGTAGATAATAAATCATTATTTTTATGAATGTTAGTTTGCACAAATATATAAGCGGGCATGATTATGATTACCAGGATAAATCGAAAAAAAAATTATTGTGAGTATTTCAGTTGCAGATACAAGGGAGCCCTCAGCCGGTCCACCCTCCCTAATTTTTTTTCAAAATTTAAAAGTGGAGAAAAGAGAAAATTATATTAAAATTCAAGTCTGAGAGTGCCATTTCCGCCGAACTAGAGGTGCCATAATCATAGATTTTCTTATCTCAGACCCAACCATGGTGGAGCTGAGGTAGTCTACACTCTATCTGTAAAAGTCCATCCATGGGCCCCCTCTATTTGGAATTACTGGACCCGCCACTGTATTTTGAAAATGTTGTGAAGAAATACATTTTAATTGCTTTCCTTAAAATTAATTAGATACTTATAAAAGGCTAGACGGTGGGGCTTCATGGGGCTTCTCCCCTGGACCCCGCCGGGGGCCCTGGGCGGCCCCCGGGCTTTCGCCAAGGCTTAGGCTTACGGCCCAATGCGTCCTTATTTTGCAATTCACCCTTCCCCCACTTTTCACAACGAATCGACGCCCTTGCTTGTGGCAGGGCAAATGTGAAACCTGCTCCCTTGTTCGCACCACAGGCGGGATGGTTGACCCTTTGAGACCTATGTTTTTGCCACCACACTATTATATTATTGTTAAGTCATCATGCTATTTGTTTTATGTAAATCGCTATAAAAATTTAGATTATTGGTTTTACCTCTGTAAGGAGGTTATATTTTCATTCGATTTTGTGTGTGTGAGTTGTATGCTTGTTAGCAGTCTACAGCTTACCTAGAGTTTTAGGTCTACATGCGTCACATTTTCACAGATGATTTCTGATATTGACAGGAAGGTTCATTTTTATTTTGGTTACGATCCGGAGTGGGATGTGGGAAAACATTCAAAACTTGATATCTCAAATAATGATTTACTGATCTGTATGAAAGGTATGAAAAGTGTTTTAACCAAGTTAAAAGGAGGATATTATACATTTTGAAGACGATCCAGATTCGGGTGTGAATTAGAGGGAGTCATTCAAACTGCTAAACGTCCCCAACATAAATATTTCAAAAACTGATCAATGGATCTGAATGAAATTTTCTAGAGTGTTTTTTCATGTACCAAGGAAAGAATGATTGAAATTGTCTGATTGAAACTTTCATAAAGAGTTAACCAAATTACAAGAAAGAAATGATTAAATTTTGGTGACGATCCAGATTTGGCTGTGGATTTGGGGCTATTTGAAATTCTGAAGTATCAGACCTAAATATCTCAAAAACTCATCAATGAATATGAATGAAACTTTTGAAATGGTTTGCCAGGGTCAAAGGAAGAAATGGTTAAATTTTTGTGACGGTCCGGAGTAGGGTTGGGATAGGAGGACTATTTAAAAGGAACTTTCCATACATAGATATCTAATAATAAATAATAAATGCATCTGAAAACTTTCCTGGAATGGTTCGTTATGGCCAAGGAAAAGAACAATCAGTGTGGGTGTGGAGAGCCCTATAAAATGGAACGTAAATATCAATGGATCTGATTGAAGCTTTCTACAATGGTTTGTCATGATCCAAGGAACAATGATTGAAGGCTCTCAATGGCTACCGGATCACACATAACTAAAAACATTAGTTGTTTAGTTGGTTATGGAGTTCGCTTTGTAAGTCCCGAGTTCGAGGTCTCTCGGACGTGTCCTTTGTTATTTCTTTAATGTATTATAAACAATAATAATAATAATAATAATAATAATAATAATAAAAATAATAATAATAATAATAATAATAATAATAATAATAATAATAATATAATAATAATAATAATAATATTATTATTATTATTATTATTATTATTATTATTATTATTATTATTATTATTATTATTATTATTATTATTGTTTATAATACATTAAAGAAATAACAGACTCGATCAAAATAATCTGATATGCAAAGATGTTTACAATTTATTATCAGTATACATGATAAGGATTAATGGAGAAGTATCCTGACTTTGCAACAAGTACGGTATTAAAAATGCTCAAACAGATTGAAATTCGCATGTGTACATACTCAGCAAGGTCATCAGCTGAAGGATGTTGGACAAAAAATGTTGTTAAAATTAATAAAACCGCCGCCAGATGTTTCTCAAAAGGTGGAAGGAGGAATTGTTGTTAATAACAGCACCATTGATTGAAGCTCTTCTGACGTTGGAAAAAATAATATCGACGCCAACTCAAATTCACCAATATTAGGGCAATATATTATTAGTGTCGACATGAAAATAGTATAAATATGACATTAATAAACTTACACACAATAATATTCATTTTAGTGATCAGCCATTATGTTAATCTTACACGATCAGGACCAAGTCATGCTATACACATTAGTGTTAATAATGTTAAAAATGAACAAAATGTAAAATATCTCTCAAGATAATTATGGCACGAATAATAAATCATCGTATGATAGTGCTGATTATCATCATTACGTAAAAAATATATTATCTATGACACATTGGTTTGCAATTATGCAGTATTTAAATACCTCTTCGATTTCTGTCGGTACGGTCACAGAACAATAAATAGGCCCCTTTGCGATTTATTTATTTTTGTCAAACTATAGAATAAGTTAACATGTTGCATATTTATTTGTATTTTTAACAAAATCATATTCATTGATAATATTCGATGAGTGCCATGCAAAATCAGCTGAAAATAAAGGCATCTATTAACATTTTTCGAATGCATTTAACGTTGTCAACATTTTTTTTCTAAATCATACCGAAAACAAATCATCTAAGAAAACTGGTTGCAATGCATTTCCTTACTACCGAGGGTGTCGCAATGACTTTGAGAGTGTCATTTCTTGCTAAAGTACTACCGGTATGCCTTATTGCCGTACAATAAATCTTCAATACTTGTTGTAATTTAAGGATACTTCTCCATTAAATCCTTATAATGTATACTGATAATTAATTGTAAACATCATTGCATATCAGATTATTTAGATCGATTCTGTTATTTCTTTATAACAATAATAACTAGTGGGTATCGAGTGTGTTTAATGTTTTCCCAAAGAAGGTGTGTGATTCCTGCGAATCGCCTGAACACATTGCAGTAATCGACAAACCAGGCTAAACAACCGCGTAAGAGTTTTATGATAAACGTGTAGCTACACGGTGGAAATGCACTTTTTCTCAATCTCTCTAACAGATGTGATGGCATGGTTAATCTTGCTAACTCACTCTTTGAAGGAAACAATCAACTTATTGCAGATAGTATCAATAAGTTTTTTTTAAAATTCTATTACGAAATATTACCGGCCTATTAATTGTTTTTAACCTGTAAATGCACCTTTACCAGACCATCAAATAATCCAGTAGATGCAGTTAAGCAGGCTCTCCAGAATTAAACGCAACAAAGCACCAGGGCCAGATCAAATTCCAAATTGGATCCTCAAAGAGAAATCATTAGCTAGACCATGGCTAGGCCTGTGTGTGCTATCATTAATTCCAGCCTGCGGGAAGGTATTGTTACCCAAAGTGTATTGAAACTGATTTACAACAATATGAAATAAATGTTAAGAAAAGTAAGGAATTTACATTCGTTATCTGGTTAATGAGCTTTCCTTAAAGAGATTTCATTTTATTTTGCTGCACATAGTGATAACCATCGGCACACATGCAATATTATGAATTTGTGGAGATGTGTTCATTTCCGAAAAATGCTTGCTTGCTTGCGGGTTTACGGGAGGTGGTCCCGATTTCCAGGACGTCGTCCCGATTTCCGGGACACTCCGAGAGTTCAGGGTGACTTGGGACAACTGACGTTTGACATGTTTGGCCTAGGTAAACTGCTCGGGGCAGATATTGCATGTAACACCATAATATGGGGTTGGATAAAAAATGTACAGCTGTAAGTGCCTGTAATTTTGACAGAGTGATAGTTCCTATGAGTATGTCACTAGAGTCAACGAGTCTATAGAGTTCGCAAGTTTTAGCATTGCATGGAATTATCATTATTGTTGAATTTGCTTCTGATTATCTGTTTTTCAGATTGGGTGATTGTTGTTTATAACGATACCACCAAATCTAAAAGATACAACCCGTATTTGCTCCAATCATCCAATACTGTCGATAGAGACAAACATCTTTCAGACCTCGCTCCTACATTAACCAGCCTCAAATACAACCGTAACATCAGAGAGACAAATGGAAAAGCCAACAGTATCCCTAGCAAAGACTTGCTTACCTTCAAAATTAAGACGCCTACTGACCGCATACCTTTCACTAACTTATTATCCTGTACTCAAACCTATAAAACAGATAATTGTCAACCTACAACCATTACTGCAAGATGATCTTTTACAGGATAAGCCTATATTTACAGATATTTAAACATCTTATCCTTCATAAACAACCATCCAATTAAAAAAACAAAACAAAAAACAGGTACTATTACTATTACTAGGCCTATTGCTATTACTACTACTATTACTATTATTTTTATCATTATATAAAACAGTCTCAATATTAATAATATCATCACTTTGTTTCATTTCAGTAAGAATTGTATGTCTGGTGGTCCGAAAATACGTCAGAATTCCTGCTGTCATAACGATTCCTATAAAAACGTTACGATGAATGATACCATTGAAAATTCAGACTACACTGTTTTCTGGAAAAATTGCAAATTTTATACTGACTTCGACAAAGTTATAATTACTATTATTATGCCAATTATTGTCACCATAGGCATCATTGGAAACATAATGACAATTATCGTGATAGCCAGTAAAAAGTGCATGCACACACCTGTTAACGTTTACTTTGCAAATTTGGCGATAGCTGACACGTTATACCTAATAGTGGGGCCTGATTTGATCTGGAACTCTTATCGTAATAGTCCGATACATAATTGGAATGACATTGGGGAAGAGATGAATTGGTTTTGTCCGCTACAAAAATTCATCACTGAAACAGCGTTAACAGTGGCACTCTTCACCGTCTTTTGGCTGTCCGTTGAACGTTGCATGGCAGTCTGCAGACCTCTTAAGTTCCAACGAAGTGGATTTCGGTACTGCTCAAGATCTTTAAAAATTTGTAGCATTTTCTGGATCTTAGGTATGTCATGGAAGGCGCAGTATCTTGCATTGTTACGTGCTCTGCCTGCTCAAATTCCTTGGCCGCCTTCTGTTGAGGGCCGTTTTCCAAAAATGCTTACGGCTTGTGTCATTCGAGATGAAAACATTAAACTCTACCGTATTCTGTTTTGGGTGGACCAAGTTCTCATTTTTTTAATACTCGTTGCCTTAGTGGTTCTATATACAGCGATGCTGATCTCATTGCGAAAGTCACGTAATAGCAAATTCATTTTAACCAGGACGGTATATAGGCCTAAATCTAAACCAGAAATGAAAGTTTTTCTGACAGCATTTGTGACTGTCACTGTTTATGTTTTGTGTATGACACCATTTAAGGTATTTACATTTCTGTACATAAACGATCTTACGAGATACTTTTCAATGGTAAATATCTTAACTCGTCTTATGTGCTATATCAATTCAGCTGTGAATCCTTTCATATATAATGCAATGAATAGCACGTTCAGGCGAGCTTTTGGTGACGTATTCTGCAGCAAAAATAACACTAAAAACAGAACACATCCACTAGCAAGTAAAAACACAACTACAAAGTTCAAAGAATCACCAGCACCACACAAACAAAAAGTGTGTTTGAACGATTATAGAGATGCAGATTCTTTAATATTTTAAAACTAGGGGAACAATGTGGAAAAATTATGGTTACGACCCCTTTTCCCCAGTTCTGAAATATTACAAAATCTCTATTCCGAGCTTTTCGTCAAATATTTTGTGTTTAAAAAAAAATAGTTCTACAACATATCATTTTCCCATTAGAGTGTAGGTCAAATTTTAAAATGGAAAATTATGGAATCGATTGAGTGTCAACTTTGCCAAGTTACTGACGACCATGAACACGTTTGTCTCATGTGTTTTGGGAAGCATTTTTCAATCAAACGGAACTTGAAAGGTATTCTTATAGTGTAGATTGAACTTTCAAAGTTCTAAAGAGATTTTGAAAATGATCATTGCTGGGTATAGAGTTGGTGGCAAAAGCTCAAATCTAATAAAATATCTTGTAATTGTTAGCTTTCTTATGTAGGCCTATTTATATGTTTCGAATCAAATATTATGCTGTTAATACAAAGCCAAGTCTGTTTGAAATTGAACTGAAGAGTCAAATAAGTTAATGGACTTCATTGAATAAAAAGAAATAATTTATGGTGTAAGATTATTAAAACAGTACATGTATCATTATTTATTTTGTTAACTTGTAAGTGGAAGAATCTTTAATAAATGTGGCTTTACCATAAAGAAAGAAACAAAGTTTACAGATAATGTTCTTATTTTACATTTTGCATGATACACTGGAAAATAAAGCCTTTTTGACGTTTATTATTAACTAACATAATGTTCATAAAACATAAAAAACTCACAAACATCCAAATGCTCATATTAAAACATTTATATTGACTAAAAGCATAATAAAAAAAAACTGACAATAGTTATGGCCATACACATGATTTGAAAGAACTTGCTTAGGCGAAAATGACAAGAAGCCTTTCCCATAAAGAATATCACCATTAATTGTCCGGTCTGTCTCTTAAGGCTTATGTTCATTGTTAATGTATACATATTATAATAATGTCAAATGTTATAAAATTAATGAAATAGAATAGAGACTGCTAATGACATCAACAATGCCACCTCTACTTAAAGGTAATGAATTATTAACGTCGCCCCTCCGAAGAAGAGTTGAAGGGTATTGCAATAGCGCGCGTCTGTGTGTGGGGCAGTCTGTCTGTGTGCTGTGTGTATGTCCTTCAGGGTGCATAACTCAAAAACTATTGCACCTATTTACTTAAAGTTTTTATACATTCACGATGTTAGGCCTATATGTATCTCGGTCTTCCTTAAATTTGGTGCTGATCGAAAGTAAGATGCAGATATTAGAATGTTATTTATATTTTTTCTGGCCTCAACAGCCGACAGAGCCAACTCGAGCAGATCATTCGGCCTTGTTTGGCTAGGTTGAGCGGACGCCAGCGGATCGACCGCGGGTCAGAATCGGGGGTGAGTGAAATTTTGACCCAGCGACTGGAAGCGGTCAGGGCAGCGTGGAAATACGCCCTATTGATGGGCTTGCCACGCAAGCTCTACGATGAAGCTGTCTGGCCGGCGTGCAATTAAATGCCATTATTTTTTTTCAGTATAGATAGCGCAATAGGGCGAGGGTTTGTTTTGTATTGGTTGTTTGTCAATGACTTTTTAAACCAATGACCTTTATCTGTTTTAACATGGTTTTTTAACATATAAATTAAATGTTAGCAGCAGCATAATGCGCCATTTATCTAGCGTGCTGTTTTGAGGTGCAGTGACTCTTGACGAAAAGAAAAAATATTTACTAATTTAATAGGCCTATATTGATTTGTTGGAAAAGCAAAACAGTTCGGGAACCAGTTTAAGTATTTTTAATAAGACACAAAACTACAGAAATTCAATAAATTAAAATGAATGAATATCACCTAGTTTCTAGTAATAGTAAAAACAGTCAAAATTTGAAAAGAGCAAGTGGCCACAGCGAATCAGCGCCAATGTTGATGTTATGAAGTGTTATAATCTATGACAACCTTTTATCATTCAATAAGTGTTTACTTTGGTGACTGTGTGAATGTATTGTGAAAAGCAAAAACCATGAACATGCTTCATTTTCACAAATTTCGACTTATTTTTTTAAGACACAAAAAGCATATTTGACGGAAAACTTGGTAGCAGTTAGTGAAATTGGCCTACAGATTTTTTAATGTATTTATAAGCTGAGGGAAAAGGGTGGAGAAACTCTTAGAGAAATCAACAATTCCCTGGAAAAATCAGTACAATATATATATATCAATGTTTTTTCCTCCGGAGCCTGGCTTTAATCCAAAACAAGGTTTAAAAATAGGTACCTAAAAGGTACATGTGGCTACTGAGCTCATAATAAGAAATACTGGTGTGGCGCTTTTCATGCACGTTTCCATGTTACATATCTCGCATTCCTGTAGTACAGCAGGCCTACCATAGGTCCAATGTCATAGTAAATTAACACTTTAATACAAAAAAAAAGAAGGAATACTTGTATATTCATTGTGATATTTATTCATCTTAACACTGTATACATTGTATTTAAAACCCAAATTCTTTAGTTACACAAAAGGTAATAATATACTCTTAAGAGCCACGACGCGGTGCTTTTTTGAGCATTTAGGGTAATTAAAAACTATATAATCTGAATCCACGATTTTGTAACAAGATAGCAATTATTATTATAGTTATAAGTCGGTTTATTACAGAAAACGTATTTTTAAAAACTTGTTATCCCTTGCAAATTGACATCTTATTGAACATTTAAAACATTTTTGCCTGCAATCTGGATGTTTAATTTTGTGAATGGAAATTTTCCAAATAGTTGTCTGTACTGAACACGATGGATCAATCAGCATACATTGTGTAATATTTTTAGCCCATTTCTTGTGTTGAACTTTTTGGTTCCTGAAAGCTGTATAACCTTAGCTTTTATGGTTACGAGTTGAGTGTTGCTTACACTCGAATTCAAAGAATGTTTTGGGTTGATAAATTCCTAAATTTGGAATGGTATATAATTCTGGAATTCAGTGTGATATGAAGCAGAACAAACAGTTTCTTGAAACTTGTCCGCGGTGGTTTGTAATTGTAATATTATTTAATATACTGTAGTTAATAGCATGAATATTACATATATAAAAATTAAATAATTTATTCATATATATTTTGTTGTTATATATTTATATTGTTGCCATATACCTTATTTATTATATATTTAAATTTATTATTACCAGTATTAACAATAATAATTTTTAACATGTATAACGACTAATGAAAAATGCATATTTATAACACTGGACCTGATCATAGGTAACTATCACAAGTCCAGCTGCAGGCCGATAAAAGAGTCCCCACTTGCTAGAAATTTTATTAACTGAACTGTAAAATGTAGTAGTAGTAGGGCATACAAATGTTTTTATACCTTTTATATATTGTATTGTAATTATTGTATTTATGTATTATTGTGCACGGCCCCAGGGAAGAACAACCCTGTGTTGATCTGGGCCTCCGTGGATAAATAAAGTTGAACTGAACTGAACTAGGCCTAAGCCTAACTATGCCTAGATACACTATAGGTCGTTTAGCCAGATATGTTTACTTACCTAGCCGGCCCTATAGTTTCATTAGCAATAGTCCTACTACTTACCTAGCTACAACATGTTTTTTTTTAACTTTTTATGTATAACCATGGCTGCTGAAATGACCGTGCATCAGCCGAATGTAGTACAATCAGGCCCGTAACCAGGGGGGGGGGGTTCGGGGAGTTCGGACGAACCCCGCCGTTTGCTAGGTGGCTCCGCTTGGATGGCAAAAAAAAAAATCTCGAAAGAAGATTGCTTAAAAAAAACAATCCTGTTCAAATAATCTTTATGGACAGCAACTTTTAATACAAGTTTCAAGATGGAACTCTTATTAATGTGGTCAGCGCAATTGGTTGGTCGTTAACATCTTCAAAAGGCTCCACTTTTTCCAAATTTGAACCCCCCCCCCAAAAAAAAATCCTAGTTACGGGCCTGACAATTGTTTATCAGTATGATTAATCTGCTCAATAAACAATTTTAATTACTTGTGCAAATATAAAATGTGGGTAACCCACATCTTTATATACGATTTTTCATGGATCTCGACCTGCTATATAGGCCCTCTTTAGGCTAAACGCGCCTAGACGGTTGGAAGCGACGATCGAAGAAAAACGGTTAAGCAAGCCAAGGAATTTGCTAACTTCCATTCCTCAGTATTAAAATCCTTCCATTGATGGGCACTGTCTAAAACTTTCTTCCAGCTTATCTCTGAAAAGATTGTAACCTTTTCGTCTGCAGTTGGCTCAACATGAATTACACAGGAGCCAGTGAGCTTCCATGACGGCCTAGGCTCGGACATGACACGTTGTTGTTTGTTGTTATTTCGCGACGTCATCAACGAGCACAATACATTCATTATCCACCATCAACTAAACTGCCTTAAAGAAAAAAAAACAAAAAAAAAAAAACTGGCTCGTGTAGGAATCGAACACACAACCTCTATGTTTGCTATTCATTATCCACCACCAACTAAACTGCCTTAAAAAAAAAACTGGCTCGTGTGGGAATCGCACCCACGACCTTAAAAAAAATAAAAATAAAAATAAATTTAAAAAAAAAAATTGCCCCGTGTGGGAATCGAACCCACGATCGCTGAGTATACTACCCCTGATCCAGCATGACTATACGGAGGGAGGTAAACCGCGGCCCCTAAACCATGAATGCGATAAACCTAGTACCACACCAAGTACCAGTTAGTCAACTCTGATCATAGTATAAAAAATTCTTCGTATATATACACTGCAGGTTAATATTACGCATGGTCATGGTGTCAAAAATGGGCCGTAGGCCAAGAGGGTTTATTTTTGTCTAAAAATGTAGAATTAAATTTATAATCGATTTTTGGTTGTTACCATCTCCATAACTTACGCACTTTTTTTAAATAGACAAAAATGTTTGAAAAATTCATTATGCAAATTAGAAAAAAAAAATAGATTAATCATGTTACGGGAAACCTGGTGGTTGTGTGTTCAATTCCCACACGAACCATTTTTTTTTAAAGGCAGTTTAGTTGATGGTGGATAATGAATAGCAAACCTGGAAGTTGTGTGTTCGATTCTCACACAAACCATTTTTTTTTTTTTAAGGCAGTTTAGTTAATGGTGGATAATGAATAGTAAAACCTGGTGGTTGTGTGTTCGATTCCCACACGAATCTTTTTTTAAGGCAGTTTAGTTGATGGTTGATAATGAATAGCAAACCTGGTGGTTGTGTGTTCGGATTCCCGCACGAACCAATTTATTTATTTTTTTTTTTTTGTTGGCCCGACGTCGGTAAACGTTTGAAATTTACAACCTCTAGCCAACGTCGGCCCAACTGTTGTCACCAACCTCCACTAACATTTACCGACGTCGGGACAACAAAGTACCTTGACGTTGGGACAACGTCTATAATTATAGACGTTGTCGCAACGTCAAAGTACCTTGTTGGCCCGACATCGGTAAACGTTTGCAATTTACAACTTCTAACTAATGTCGGCGGCCAAACTGTTGTCACCAACCTCCACTAACGTTTACCGACGTCGGGCCAACAAAGTACTGTGACATTGGGACAACGTCTATAATCACATCCTAATATTTACAACCTCTAACCAACGTCGGACCAA